TGTGTGTGTGTGTGTGTGTGTGTGTGTGTGTGTGAGACTTCTTATAAGGACACCCATCATTGGATTTAGGGTCCACCAAATCCAAGATGATCTCATCTTTTTTTTTTTTTTTTTGTGGTACGCGGGCCTCTCACTGTTGTGGCCTCTCCCGTTGTGGAGCACAGGCTCCGGACGCGCAGGCTCAGCGGCCATGGCTTACGGGCCCAGCCGCTCCACGGCATGTGGGATCTTCCCGGACCGGGGCATGAACCCACGTCCCCTGCATCGGCAGGTGGACTCTCAACCACTGCGCCACCAGGGAAGCCCAGATCTCATCTTTTTAATTGATTAATTTGTTTGTTCGTTTGTTTGTTTGTTTGTTTATTTTGGCTGCACAGGGTCTTAGTTGCAGCACATGGGATCTTTGTTGCAGCACGCAGGGTCTTTTAGTTGCGGCTAATTGTGGGATTAGTTGTGGGATCTAATTCCCTGACCAGGGATCGAACGCGGGCCCCCTGCATTGGGAGCACGGAGTCTTAGCCACTGGACCACTAGGGAAGTCCCCAAGGTGATCTCATCGTGATATCCGTAACTAATAATGCCTGAAAGACCCTATTCCAAATAAAGTCACTTCCTGAGGTCCTGGGTGGACATGAACTTCGGAAGACCTCATGTAACCCCTACAGCTGTGAAGCCAGAATTCTTGGCAGGGCATTATTGAAGAAGGTGCTTGTCCAGCAGCCTCTGCTATTTCAGACAAGACAAGGCCAGCAGGGTCAGGGCAGAGCCGGGTAAAAAAACAAAAACAAAACAAGAGGGACTTCCCCAGTGGCGCAGTGGTTAAGAATCCGCCTGCCAATGCAGGGGACACAGGTTTGAGCTCCGGTCCAGGAAGATCCCACATGCCGCGGAGCAACTAAGCCCATGCACCACAACTACTGAGCCTGTGCGCTAGAGCCCACGAGCCACAACTACTGAAGCCCACACGCCTAGAGCCTGTGCTTTGCAACAAGAGAAGTCACCGCAATGAGAAGGCTGCGCACTGCAGCGAAAAGCAGCCCCCGCTCACCTCAACTAGAGAAAGCCCACGCCGCAACGAAGACCCAACGCAGCCAAAAAATAATAATAATAAATAAATAAATTTTAAAAATTCGGTATTACTGGCAACAACAGAAGGGACGAGGTACAATAGAAACAAAAGAATGTGAAGAAACCATCTGGCCCAGTTGCCTGCCTTGGTGCAGAGCCCAGGCCTCTTGCCCTGGAGAGAGGGAGGCAGCAGGGGCCGCAGGGGCTCGAGGAAGTCGGGAGGGAGGGGGCTCTGGCCTCAGAGTTTCAACCGCCAGCTGAGGCCACCCGCCATATACTCTGGGCCTCACCCTCAGCCACGTGGGCTGTTGGTCACCATCTGACCAATGATGGACTCCAGACAACACCCAAAAGAGCCCATGTTCTTGGGCACAGATAAGGGGGCCCAACCTGGGGGGCTGGGTGCGGAGAAGTCCCAGGCACGGTGACCCCACGCTGGTGGCAGAGGGAGCCTGGCAACTGTCCTGAGTATGGATGCTGTGTGGGCAGTGGGAACCCCATTTCAGTGAGGGAGGCCTCTCGGGGCAGGTTGGGGGGTAAATTCAGAACCTTGTGGCCGTTTGGGGGAAGGAAGCCAGTAGGGGGCAGGTGGGGGTGCCTGAGTGCAGGGGGAGGGGCTCTGACCTGGGAAGGGCACAGCGGGGGTTGGGTCAGCCACACGTGGGTCGTGTCCTCTGTTATTCTTGAAGAGGTGAGTGGCGGGAGGCAAAATGCCAACTGCTGGAAATTATGTACATCCACAGTCAGGCTCCCTCCATGCCCTTGTCTCCTCCCCTGTATGGAGAGTCCCCATCACTGTTTTTTTGGGTTTTTTAAAATAAATTTATTTATTTATTTATTTTTATTTTTTATTTTTGGCTGCGTTGGGTCTTCATTGCTGTGTGCGGGCTTTCTCTAGTTGCGGTGAGCGAGGGCTACTCTTCGTTGCGGTGCGCGGGCTTCTCATTGCGGTGGTTTCTCTTTGTTGCGGAACACGGGCTCTAGGCACACGGGCTTCAGTAGTTGCGGCTCACGGGCTCATTAGTTGTGGCTCACGGGCTCAGTAGTTGTGGCTCATGGGCTCTAGAGTGCAGGCTCAGTAGTTGTGGCGCACGGGCTTAGTTGCTCTGCGGCATGTGGGATCTTCCCGGACCAGGGCCCGAACCCGTGTCCCCTGCACTGGCAGGCAGATTCTTAACCACTAAGCCACCAGGGAAGTCCCCCCATCACTGTTGACAGCACTCTATAAACACCTGGTCTGCTTCCAGTCTTTGCATCGGGACAGCCTCCCACCTGGGTTCAGGTAGGTTCACTCATTAGTGACAGGCTAGGTGGCGTCCTCCTGTGAGGGCTGAGCTCACACATTCTCCCTGTCCCCCTCTCCTCGCTCCCCCATAGCTTCCCATCCAGACCTTCATACCTTCACTGGGACCAGCACCTGGCTGTGGCCTTACTGGCCCATGAGGCTTCATGCTCACCTGTCTGGGGGCACAGCACACATTCGAAGGCGTCTGCTAAATCACCTGCAGAGAGATGCTCCCCGCAATCTGCCTCAGTCTCATCTACCAGTTGCATTACTGTCCCCACACATGCCAACAGCCCCCCACCAAAGGTTAAACCCACTTTTCTCATTATGAGTGCAGTCTGGTACCTGTCATGTTTTTAAGTTATTTTTTTTCCTTCCCAGTGACCCAGCTGTTTCTTTGCCTTTGTCTTGAGTTTTTTTGTTTTTGTTTATGAAAGGGCAAAGAGCTCTTTACTTCCTAGGAAAATAGCCTTTGGCCTAAGAGGCAAAAACTTGAGACCTCCCCCACCCCAACCCCACCACTGCCCCAGGACAGGAATCTCCTTCTCTCTGCCCTGCAATCCTGGGGAGCTTCCTGGAGGCACCGGGCCCTGAGGGAAGCAGCTTGCAGACTCTGGCTGCCCCTTCTGCTTGGGGTTGGGGAGCCTGAGGCACCCCAGCTTCTCCTCCAAAAAGGATCTTAGATTCCTTTGGCTGCTGTAACAAATCACCACAAACTGTCTTGAGACAACAGAAGTTTATTCTCTCACAGTTGTGGAGGTCAGAAATCCCAAATTAATCCTCCTGTAGAGCCACTCCTAAGGCTCTAGGGGAAGATTCCTCCTTGTCTCTTCCAGCTTTTATGCTCTGTGTGTTCCTTGGCTTGTGGCTTGTGTGTATCATTCCAATTTCTGCCACTGTCTAAACACGGCCTCCCTGCCTGTGTCTGTTTTTCTGTCTCTTATCAGATCACTTGTCATTGTTGTTAGGACCTACCCTCATCCAGGGTAAGGATCTCTAGACCTTTACCTTAATTACATCTGTGAAGGCTTTTTTCAAATAATGCCACATTCACAGATTCCAGGGAGACATGTCTTGGGGCGGGGGGGTGCCACCATTCAGCCCCCTGCAGGTGCCTTCCCGGGACTCAGCCTTGGCGCTCTGTCACCTGCAGTGACACGCTCTTGTAGGTCTGCACTGGTTTGTGTGGTGCCTTTGTTTCTGTTTGCGTCCACCACACCGAGGCTCTGTCTGAGCCGTCTGCAGAGCTCCCAGGGCAGGCCCTGGGCCGGGGCCAGGGGAGGGAGGGAGGCAAGTGCTCAGACTCTAGACTGTATGAGGACAGGACTAAAGGGCTGGATCCTTTCTCAGGAGGGCAGTTTTGCAGAACGTGTCCACATTCACCACGCCTGACCCAGCCCTAAGAAAGGCCGCACTGGGAATTCCCCAGCGGTCCAGTGGTTAGGACTCCGCACTTCCACTGCAGGGGGCGCAGGGGGCACGGGGGGCACGGGTTCGATCCCTGGTCGGGGAACTAAGATCCCACATGCTACGAAGCGCAGCCAGAAGAAACAAAGAAAGGCTGCACCATCTGCATCCGGGTGCCCAGGTGTGAGGACAGTCCCCCGGGGTCCAGAGTGTTGGGGGTGCCACTGAGCAGCAGCCGGACGCATGGAGGGTGGTAGAGTCACAGTGTCCTCCACAGACTGACACCCCAGCCACTGGCTGGAAAAGATCCCTAAGGCCTAGTTTCTCTTTGTTTGTTTGTCTGTGAGCAGTTTTAGGTTTATAGAAAAATTGCAAAAGTAATACAGAGTTCCCCTCCACTGCACACACCCAGTTTCCCGTATTAATAACATCTTCCTTTGGTATGGTACATTTGTCACAACTGATGTACAAATACTGATCCATTATTATTAACTGAAGTCCATTGTTTATTCACATTTCCTTAGTGTTTCCCTAATGTGCTTTTTCTGTCCCAGGATCCTCACATTACCTTTAGTCGTCACATCTCTTTAGGCTTCTCTGGGCTAAGATAGTTTCTCAGACTTTCTTGGTTTCGACGACCTTGACGGTTTTGATGAGAACTGGTCAGGTGTTCTATGGCCCTTGGCCCTTGGTTGGGATTTGTCTGGTGTTTTTCTCATGGTTGGACTGGGCTTTGGAGCGGAGGACCACAGAGGGGAAGTGCCTTTCTCATCACACACACACACACACACACACACACACAGACACACACGTGACCAGGGCACGCGCGCCGTCAGTGTGACTTATCACTGTGGTGTTGACCTTGATCACGTGGCTGAGGTGGTGTCTGTCAGGCGTCCTCACTGTAAGGTTACTCCCTTCCCCCCTTTCTGTGCTGTGCCCTTTGGAAGGAAGTTGCCACGTGGCCCACACCTAAGGGGTCATGCTTACGCTTCCCTTCCTCCAGCACTGAGCATCTGTGTAATTTATTTGGGATTCTTCTGCCTGGGAGATTTGTCTCTTCTCCCTCATTTATTTATTTATTCAATCATTTATTTATATCCATGTGGACTCTCGGCTATTTATCTTACACTTTGGGTTACAATCCAACACTTCTGGGACTTCCCTGGTGGTCCAGTGGTTAAGACTCCGTGCTTCCACTGCAGGGGGCACGGGTTCGATCCCTGGTTAGGGAACTGAGATCCCTCATGCCTTGGTGCAGCCAAAAACAAAAACAAAAACAAAAAAAAACCAACACTGCTTTATTGATTTTGTTGCTCAGCGTTCCTGCTTTGGCCACGAGGGGCTCTTTGATTTGCCTTTGTGTCCCATTTTCACAGTCCCATTGACTTTGGTTCCTGCCTGACACCTCAGGGTGGTCCAGGCTCATTGTTGAGTTTCTGGCGCCATCTTAGAAGCAGCTGTTCATCCCCGAGTCAGGGACCATTTTAGGTAGGAAACAGCGGCAGAGGCCACTTGGAACAGAATCCTGCTTGTGCTTCCTAGGATGTTCTGTACCAGCGGGTGCCTGGGAGGACCTGGAGGGCAGGAGGGGCTTCCAGAGCTGGCTCAGGGGGGCATCTGCCTCGTTTGCATCATTTTACAGGAAAGCATATTGATTCATTGGGTGATTTTAAAGCAAGGGATACCTCCAAGCATACCGGTGCCCAGTGGCATCTCCGTGACACCAGTCCTTCATCCTCTTTTCCTCCTGGTGCCCTCCGTGTGGTTGGCTGAGCTCTGAGTGCGCCTGCACTAGGAGGTTAAAGGTAGGTTTGTTATCCGAAAACTGGGTTCACGTCTTGGTGGGTGTCAAGCAAATAAACACAACTAAGTCAAAGATGGGGAGAAGGAAGGATGTATTACTTGAGGTTGTTAGGGTGGACCCCGATCCAATAGGACTGGTGTCCTTACAAGAGGAAAAGACATTCTTTCATAAGAGGAAATTTGGACACGAGCCTGTGTTACCTGAAAACTGGGTTCATCTCTTGGTGGTGTCAAGCCAATAGACACAACCAAGCCAAAGATGGGGAGGGGAAAAGTAAGGATTTATTATGACTTTCAGCAAGTAAGGGGAACACCGGGGACTTTTCCCAAAGCAGTGTCTCCCCGAACAGCAAAATTGGGGAAGTTTTAAGCTCAGGGTACATGCATATTCATGAAGGGGCTTGAACAGAGGAGAATTCAGCATAGAATTGGGGCAAAGGTCCACAGAGTCCAAGCTTTAGTTGATTGAAGTCAAGAGGGTCAACATCATTCCACCCTCAACCTGGGTGGGGGCCTTAGTTCCCAGAGAACTCAAAGATATATTTATTATTATGTCTATCCCTTGAGGAGGAACTAGGGCTCTGCTTTATCACTGCACTACTGTCTGACTGCCTTTTCTCTGTTCCTGCATTCCTTTGTTCGCTTTAGATCATTAATTACCGAGACATGTTCAAGGGCAAGCATTGCTGCCAGGCTTAGCTCACAAGATGGCTTAGGCCAAAATGGCTTCTCTTATGTCAAGAGAGCCATTCCTGGTTCTCTTTCTCCGGGGACCCCCTAACTTATCTGCTTACAGGTTTCCAGGGAGGAATCCTCAAGTATTAGGACACTTTACTATAACTTGACCGCAAAGGGCAGGCAGCCACACAGTAGGACAAAGATTAATTTTCTAAAAGTATTTCTGTGGACGGAGTCTCAGGTCCAAGCTGGCATAAGCCCAGAGAGCATTGGGCTCCAGGGCAGGTGGAGCCCTCCAGCCTCCACACCCTACACCCTGCCATGCCCCTGCCTCCTGCTGTGTGACCTTGCTGCCAGCTTAACCTCTCTGAGCCAATCTGGGCAGTTGGTACTAGGGTAAAAAAACAGAGGACTCAGAGGCCCATTTGTGAGGATGAAATAAAAGAGCTGATGAGAAGAGCTTTTGTAAATGATTAAGCAGTCAGGTCAGGGGACTGTGACATCCAGATGTAGGTTCGGGTGTCTTTATCCTGCAGAGAGACAGAAGCCAGGTTAGGAGAAGCGTGCCACTGGGGCAATGCTGGCATCGGGCCACTTGAGGATAAATCAGAGGCCCCAGGCTGGTGGAGGAGGCCAGATTCTCACCTCGTCCCTTCTTGCTCCCCAGGACTGAGTCTCCCGCCGTCCTGAGCAGGCCTGGAATGGGTAATGGTGTGAAGGAAGGCGTGGTGCGTTTGCGTGAGGATGCCGAGCCCATCCTGCCCGCTCATGTGTCTTCAAAGGCAAGTACCCTGGCCCCCCCATTGGGCATTCTCACCCAGTCCCTCTTCTGTACTCACACCCCATTACAAATCACCCCTGAACACGCTGAGGGCGAGGCCGGGGAGTGAGGGGGTGATGCAGGCCGCCTCCTATTCCATTTTTATAACCCCATTTGTGCTGTGGATCCAGCTGCCCTACCACTTGGCAAGAAGCCAAAACCTCACCCAAATTTGGCTGGGATGTCGAAGGTGTCCTTGAGCCCCTTTTCTCACTCAGATTTGCCAATGCAGAAGAATTAGCCAAAGGTGGGGTGGGCTGCAGGGGAACTCCTCGCTCCAGGGAGGAGTTTACCCTCAGCTCTGAAATTCATCTCCCATTACGCCCTTCAACTGAAGACAAAAGCCTTATTCCCTCATAAAGAAATTGGATCAGGGACTTCCCTGGTGGCATGGTGGTGAAGACTCCGTGCGCTCCCAATGCAGGGGACCCAGGTTCGATCTCTGTTCAGGGAACTAGGTCCCACATGCATGCTGCAACTAAGAGTTCATATGCCACAACTAAGGAGCCCATGTGCTGCAACTAAGTAGCCCGTAAGCTGCACCTGCAGGAGCCTACCTGCTGCAACTAAGACCCGGCGTGACCAAATAAATAAATATTTAAGAAAAAGAAAAAAGAGAAGAAATTGGATCAGCCCTGTGCTTGTTCACCATAGAAGCCAGTAGAAGTTCTCCCAGCTGAACCTAGAACATGGACTAACCAACCCACCTTCACTGCCAGGCTGGCTCAGGCACCCGCAGGCAGTTCTCAAAGTCCATGGGCTCAAAGCCTGAAGCAGCATCATCCTCTGGCCCTCCTGACCTTTCCCCAAATTCCAAGTCTCCCTGTGGAACGCCAGGTGGGCAGGAGGACTGGTTCTCGGGGCCACCATCACCGTGCTGGGGGCGGGGAGGGGCAAGCCCCAGAGCAGGCACCCATCCCTCACAGTTGAGTGAACTTCGCGTCAGAGTGTGAGGGAGACGTGGCTTTCCCTCCACTGGCCAGATGGATCCCGCCAAGCGGACACGCCCAGCAAAGGCCCCTGTGCCTGACGTGCACTGGGACATACACAGCGCCGGTTTTCCTCTGCGCTGGCTGGCACAACCCACGTCAGTCTTGGCCTGCTTGGCCAGCCCAGTGCAGGGAGCTCACTCTGCAAAGTCCCATTTCTTTAGTTAAGGAGCCAGGCATCTTCTTGTGATGTTCACCACTGGTGTGGATCCCATCTGTGGATCACCTGTTTCTTCTCCGTCAGGCTGCCTGCCTCCTTTTTTCATTTGCAGGATCTCTCCATATGATGGATATGGAGACTTTGACCATTCAGTGATGCCTATGCCAACCAAGCTCTTTAAAGAATAAGCCAGCTGTGGTCATTTAAGAGTCAGTTGTGGGGGCTTCCCTGGTGGCGCAGTGGTTAAGAATCTGCCTGCCAGCGCAGGCGACACGGGTTCGAGCCCTGGGCCAGGAAGATCTCACATGCCGCAGATCAACTAAGCCCGTGCGCCACAACTGCTGAGCCCACATACCTAGAGCCCGTGCTCTGCAGCAAGAGAAGCCACCGCAGTGAGAAGCATGCACACCACAATGAAAAGTAGCCCCCACTGTCATCAACTAGAGAATGCCCGCGCACAGCAGTGAAGACCCAACGCAGCCATAAATAAATAAATAAATAAGCTATGTGCTGCCCCAATGCCTCTTTAAAAAAAAAAAAAAAGTCAGTGGGAGCGTCTGCCGAAGGCAGCAGCAGCCTTCTCCACTAAGCATGTGAAGTGGGGCTCACAGCATGTCCCTGGAGCGCCACATTGAGAGCTAGGGTTTAAGGATGTGTGTTCCCCATGTGCAGAGCTGGCTTTGTGATTGTAAGTACCACAGGTTGCGCAGGAAGTAACCTGGTGAAGGAGATGGAAGGTACACATCGGCTCCACTTCTGGTGCCCACAGAGCACGTAGACTCCCCGTAGGGCATTCCCTTTGCTCACGGTGGCTCGAGGTCAGCTGTCACCACATTGATTCACAGAGAGGAAACTGAGGCACAGGGCCTCGGAGCTGGTGCCAGGAACACCACTGAGCCTTCTGGCATCAGATGTCCACAACCCTCAAAGCCAATGGGACCAAAGGACGAGAACCTTGCTGTGTGACCCAGAAAAGGCAGCGGTCCCCCGTGACAGGCCTCTGTGAAGCAAGAAGATGGAACCCCCTGGTGAAGCTTGGCCTCAGAAACTGAGAGGGGAAAACACTGCTGCGGGACTCTGTTCTTTTAGGGAGAGGTCAGCTGGGCTGGTGAAGGGAGCACCGAGCCCAGACTCAGGCCAGGAGTGTGGACAGACCCAGCCCTTCCCCCTGAGCCACCCGCTGAGCTGAGCAAACTTGGGGCGTAGCCCTGGACTCCACCATGCCCACTCGGACCCAGGCCACCAGTTGTACCCCCAAATGCCCCTTCATCCCACCCCTCTCGCAGCCTCCCCTGGTCCCATCCTCTGCCATCTCCATCCTGGGTTTCACAGGAGCTGCCTCTTCTCTGGTTCCAGTTAAAATAGCCTGTTCGCCTTCCACACTTCTCCATTTCTCTTTAGGCAAAGACCAGCCTCCTTGTCAGGCCTCCACACTCTGTGGGGTCCAGCCCCACCCACCTTTCGTCTCTTCTCTCTTCCCTGTGCCCGTCCCTTTCCCTGTGTCAGCCACCCTGCCCTCCTTGTGGTCCCCCAGGGCCCCCCACTCCTTCTCACTGGGGCCTCTGAGTGTTGCGTTCCTCCCCCTCTAAGAGTGTCACACACGCATGAGCGCACACACACACACACACACACACAAGCCCTGCAGTTAGGTGTACCTCATCCTTCAACCTCGGTTCCTTACCTCTCACCCCGCATTCTCCTGGAGCCCCGAGCCCCCTCCTCATAGCCCCTCCCAGACTGGTGATTCTTCACACATTTGTCTGAAGAGTTAGTTCATGTCTGGCTCCCCCCGTGGACTGGCAGCCCCGTGAGGGGAGTGGTGAAGGTTTGTACATGCCCCTGCCCCGCTCCATGTGTCTCTAGGCCCCTGAGGGCGCCTGGTCCGAGCAGACTTCACAGATTCCCGGGATCACTGAGCTACCTGCTCCTCACCAGCCTTGCACGCTGCAGAGTGAGGACATGTGGGGCGTGTCCAGAAGAGCACTTCCAGAAAGTTCTGTGGCTGAGTCAGCAGCGGGGATGGAGACTCCAACCCGATGAGCAGGTGGCTTCCTGTGTGACAACTCAGGTCTCCCTGGGCCTCTAGGGAAGGAGGGCTGTTGGAGCCGGGGCTCGGGGAGCCACAGGAAGACTTGGGAAAGCACTGGCTCTGAGGCTGGCCACAGGAGTGCACAGTGCTGGTCAGCCACATCTGTCACCATCGCCCTTGCCTTGGCTGGATGAAGAGCCACAGATGCCAGCCAGCCCCTGAAGTCCTAATAGAAAGTTGTGGAAAGGAGACACGCTGAACAGTCAGGGTCTGCTTGCCTAATATGCCCCACCCACTCCCCAGACCACCAGGAACCTTTACCCTGAAACACTGCAACGGGAGAATCCCTCACACACAGGTGGTGGGTGGAACCAAGGTTTGAAAGTAGGACAGGTCAAGGGTGACGCTTATGTTTGGAGTTCGTCCCATCGTAGGCCGTCTCCGAGAACTTGGAACCTCACGGGACAGCCCAGCCAGTGCATGACCTCTCATGTGGTTGGTCCCTGTGGCCCAGGAGGTTTTCACTGTGTCCCACCAGGCTTTGTGGCTGCTGGACCCACCATGGCTCAGCCCGTGTCCAGCATGCATAGGGCCTAGCAGCGCTGTGTCACTCTGGCCACTGTGTGTCTGTCAGCCCTGGACCAGGGGGAGAAGGTAGACACTCAGGAAACTTTCCCAAGCAGAACAGACGCCTCCTCTTCCTCTCTGATGACAGACTGCGTGTTCGTGTGTTTTCTTGCAGACTGATCACAGGCAAGTTCTTAGCTCCCTCCTGTCAGGGGCCCTGGCTGGCGCTCTTGCCAAAACGGCGGTAGCTCCCCTGGACCGAACCAAAATAATCTTCCAAGGTAAACGCTGCCTGTCCATCTATCCCGTGTGATAGAGAAGCTGCCAAGCAATCCTCCTCCCCCTCCACGGCCCCCCAGACTGCTCTGCAAAGTGGTTTTTAAAACGCCTCTGTAGAATCCACTTAGAAAGTCTGTTAGTGTTTAGGACTGACGTCACAAAGTACCACAAACCAGGCAGCTTAGAACAACAGGAATTTATTCTCCCACTTTCTGGAGGCCAAAAGTCCAAATTCAAGGTGTCTCTAGGATTGGTTCCTGCTGGGGCCCTGAGGGTGGACCAGCTTCTGGTGGCTCCAGGCATCCTTGGCTTGTGGCCGCTTCCCCCCAGTCTCTGCCTTCCCCTCTGTGTCTGGGTCCTCTCCTCTTATAAGGACCCATGTCACTGGATTAGGGCCTACCCTCCTCTAGTGTGACCTCAGTTTAATTATATCTGCAAAGACTCTGTTTCCAGTTAAGGTCGTGTTCACAGGTGTGGGGGGTGAGGACATGGATATATCGCTGGGGAGGACACAGTTCAAGAATCCATCTCCCTCCCTTCTTAGGGTTGAGCAGGCACAGGGTCCCCTGAAGATGAGGCCTTTCTATCCTGCAGATGGTGGCCAGTGCCTGAGGGGTGCTGGGAAGGAGGACGGTCACAACCTGGGACCCCCGCCCCTCAGCTGTTTGGGAGGAGAGGACTGCTGGGCCTCAGTTTCCTCATCCATATAACAGGAGCATTGATATCAACCTCCCTGAGGAGGAGGGGGTGGAGGAGTGAGCTGACGTGGGAAAGGATGGGCATGCAGCTGAGCACACGTCCCTTCCCCACCACACACACACACAGGCAGCTGTGCTGTTCCTGGAACAGATGCTCAGTGTAGCGCCCTACAGGGAGCTTGGGTGTAACTCCGAAGGCAGGTGGTGTGCATACGTCCACACAGACGGGAGCGCAAGGCTATCCTGGGAACACAGCCGATGCTTGGGAAGCGGGGGATCGGGGGGTGAGCCAGGCAGCCCTGGAGAGCGGGAGAGTGGGCAGGCACTAGGGCTGCCTGGGCCAGGCCGTGGAGAAGAGAGAGGAGAGGGCAGGCCGCAGATGTCAGACACCCCCTTGGCTGACCCCCGCATGGCTGGTGGCTGGGATGCCTCCCCCAAATGGGTCTGGCAGAAGGGGGTCCAGCAGGGGTGGGGACCGCTGGGTGTCAACCCCGGGGGGGTGCGTCCTCCCACAGGCCCCTACAGAGATCCTCACTGTCCTGGGGGTCAGGTGGCAGCGGGAGAAGCCGGTGTGCAGAGGGGCCTGGACGTGGGCCGGGGGCGGTAACGAGGCTCCTGGGAGGAGGCTGACTCTGCTGCGGAGGCCCCCACCTCAGCCCTTGTAGGGGTTGGGGGGGAGGCATTCCCAGGGGAGGCTCTCACTCCCCATGCTCAGACCAGACCCCTGCGGAGGGGGTCATGCAGACTGGGGGGAGGGTCCCATCCTTCATATCTCACACTCTCTGTTGTGTTGTGTTTTGGTTTTTTCCAGTGTCCTCGAAAAGATTTTCTGCCAAGGTGAGCCACTAGGTCGAGGAGCCCCTGCTCTAGGACCTTCACCTCCACCTTGCTGGGCTGGCAGCGGCAGAGGAGGAGGGTGGTAGAGGTTGGGGAAGCGTTTTTCAACGTGCTTTTTCCCATTGGTTCTCCGCCACCCCCGCCCCAGGCCAGCTGCAGGGCCGCTGGGTGACCAAGGCCTCCCCTGCCAGGCACCAGGGCCAAGCCCACCCATCTGCACCCTGAGCTCTGCCTGGACACAGCCCACCCTGGGAATTGACGGGAGACCCGCCCCCCGCATCCTTGGGGTAGTGGTGAGAGGACTTGACAGTCTAAACTCACAGTTGTCATATTTGATTTATTTTTAAACACGGAGCAGGTGTTACCTTGATAAAGGAAAAGAAGAATATTTTAAAAAGCTAGACTACCAGATGCCAACAAAACACCCTCTGTAGGGCTCTGAGCCTGCTTTGCAAGCCTGGTTCCCTCTGGCTCGCTTTCCAGCTCCCAGGGCCGGAGGACTGGGGCTGGGCGTGCGGGGGTTCCTAGCGCAGAGCCCAGAGAATGCGGGGGAGGGGGACGATGGCTGCCCCCAGGCGCAGGGCTGGGCCACGAAAGGTGGGCAGGGAGGTCCAGCGGTCTGCCAGCAAAGGCACTGCTCAGGCAGAGACGGAGGGCACTGACATTGCCCCTCTCCCCTGCCCTCCCCCCAGGAGGCCTTCCGGGTCCTCTACTTCACCTACCTCAACGAAGGCTTCCTCAGCCTGTGGCGCGGAAACTCGGCCACCATGGTGCGCGTGGTGCCCTACGCCGCCATCCAGTTCAGCGCGCACGAGGAGTACAAGCGCCTGCTGGGCAGCTACTACGGCTTCCGCGGAGAGTGAGCCCTCCCTCCCGCCCCCCCAAAAAAACCCTCTCAGCGCGATTACATCACCCTGTTCTCCTGTCTTCCACCTGCTCAGCGTTTCAGAACTTCTCTTGTTTATCCGGTCTCCCCTCAGAACCTAAGTCCCAGGACGGCCACTGATCCTACCTGTGCCCCAGAGCGGGTAGGGAAGGTGCTCGTTGTTCATTCATTCGTACGAGGAGGGGGAAAGGCGAGGCAGCCAGGGGAACTTAAAAATGGCGTCCACCCAGAGACTCTCCCCCGCGCCGCCCGCTTCAACTCGGCTGGCTGCCTTGCAGCCGGTGCCGTTCCTCCATCCCTCCCCGACCCCAGACCTGTGGGCACCCGGGGCGTTGGCCCCTGACCTTCTCCCCGACCCTCTTTCAGAGCCCTGCCCCCTTGGCCCCGCCTCCTCGCTGGTGCACTGGCTGGAACGACGGCCGCTTCGCTGACCTACCCCCTGGACCTGGTCAGGGCACGGATGGCCGTGACCCCAAAGGAAATGTGAGTCCTACCACCCACGGCGACGTTTTCACCAGCAGCGGGGGCTCTGTGTCTAGTGGGGTCCCCGGGTGGGCTCCCTCCCTTGGGCCTCTGGGGTTTGGGTCTGGGCTTCCACATCCAGCTGCAGACAGAGCTGGGCTGAGGCTCTGCTACCTCCCCCTCCCCCGGTACCGCAGGGCGGGCCAGGTGTGCGGCTCCACAGCTGTTCCAGAAAGGCCGTAATTGGGTCTCTTAGCTTGAGGATCAGTTTCTGCTTCCATCCAACCCGAAGTGTTCATGTGGAGGCAGACACAGCCAAGCGCTGAGCACGGCGGCGTGATCCCCGTGGTGAAGGTGGCTATGGCCTTGGGCGTGCATGGCCCCCTCGAATGCCAGGACTTCTGTGAGGCTCTGTCGGTCAGCATCCAGGCCTGTTCCCGCTGACGTGGGAAGAGGCGAGAATTAGTGAATTGAGGCCTCCCCCCGCCCCCCGCTCTGTCCTGCAGGTATAGCAACATCTTTCACGTCTTCATCCGCATCTCCCGAGAAGAGGGGCTGAAGACCCTCTACCACGGATTCATTCCCACCGTGCTGGGGGTCATTCCCTACGCCGGCCTGAGCTTCTTCACCTACGAGACACTCAAGAGCCTGCACAGAGGTCAGGAGTGTGGAGCCCGGGGAGCACCTCCGCGGGTCACACAGAGCTGGAGGCGGGTGGAGGCAGAGGGGCGCTAAGACTCCCCTGGGAGGGGCAGGCCAGGGGCCCAGGGTCTGGATCAGAAGACACATATCAGGCCAGCCCCGGGGAAGCTGGACTCCTGACCTTTAATGCCTCATTTTGAGAGCAACCTTGTGAAGTCCAGAGTGTCACCCAGAGGGCTGGAGGCCCCTGGTGCGCACACAAGCCTACGGGTAAAACCTAGACGGAGGGGAAGTGCCCTCGTGTGTTTTGGTAATTTTGAGAAACTAGAAAAGTACAAAGAACATTGTAACCCCACCCATACCTGCCCCCGCCTGGTCCGATCAGTCATTAACAAACTGCCTTATTTGCTCCAGGATGTTTTTTGTTAAAGAAGGAAAACGGTCCAGGTAAAGCTGAGATCCCTTGTCCAGAACCCCCAGCCCCACTCCCCTGAGCCTCCTTATTAGGGGTGGGGCTCCACCCCTCAACTCCGTTGGAAACCCTTCTACCTGCGCTTTTGTGTAGCGAGAACAAGCCTTGTGCTGTTTCCTGGTTATGGGAAGCAAGTGAGCGGTCACCTCCTACACTTCTGGGTAGTGCAGCTCTGACCCATCCTTTTAGCAGTGGATGGGGGGAGTCCCCCGTTGGGGCGCCGTGAGGCCATTTGTGGGTTTTCTGTGATCAGCTGACATCAAGAGCTCCTCTCCTTGTGTGGGTGTGAGACCCCGTTTTTTTGGTTTTACTCTCCATCCTCTGCTCTTCCAGTAACTGCTCTTGCCCTGGCGCCCTGCCCCCTTCTCACCCCTGGTGGTGCTGGCAGGTTCTTTAATGTTTTGCCAATCTGCTGAGTGAGTAGGGCATCTCCCTGTTTTTAATTCTTAGTTTCCAATTTACAACACATTTTTAAAGAATGATCCCTTGCTGCCCCTTCCTCCCTCCAGCCCACCTGCCCTCACAGCACCCAGGGGAGGGTGCCTGTCAGGCAGGCTGGGCCGTGGAGAGGGTTCCAGACATGAGTGATGTTTTCTTTTTTTCCAGTTTTTTTTTTTTTTTGTGGTACGCGGGCCTCTCACTGTTGTGCTTCTCCTGTTGCGGAGCACAGGCTCCGGACGCACAGGCTCAGCGGCCATGGCTCAGGGGCCCAGCCGCTCCAAGGCATGTGAGATCTTCCTGGACTGGGGCACGAACCTGCGTCCCCTGCATCGGCAGGCGGACGCTCAACCACTGCGCCACCAGGGAAGCCCTTTTTTTTTTTTTTTAACATCTTCATTGGAGTATAATTGCTTTACAATGGTGTGTTAGTTTCTGCTGTATAAGAAAGTGAATCAGCGATAAGTATACACACATCCCCATATCCCCTCCCTCTTGCATCTCTCTCCCACCCTCCCTATCCCACCCCTCTAGGTGGACACACAGCACCGAGCTGATCTCCCTGTGCTATGCGGCTGCTTCCCACTGAGTGATGTTTATTCTTTACTAGACGAGAAACAAGAGTGACTGGGTGTGGGCTCGTTCTTGGTCTTAGGACTTGGTTATATGATTCTTTGTGCTTTTCTGTCTTGTAAAAATCTTTTGTCTCTCAAATTTGATTGAAAACGAGGGACCAGTAGGTGAGGAAGTAGGGGAGCTATGGCCTGGGTGGGAAGGCCCAGGAGAGCCGGTCAGGTCCTGAAATGCAGCTGTGACACTGCCAGCGCATGTGAGCGCGGGGCGCAGGGGTGCACGGGTGTGCGCCCCCTCCCATCGCCCTCACAGCCCCTCCCCCCCTCCCCTGCAGAGTACAGTGGCCGCCTGCAGCCCTACCCCTTTGAGCGCATGATCTTCGGGGCCTGCGCGGGCCTCATCGGGCAGTCGGCCTCCTACCCGCTGGACGTGGTGCGGCGGCGCATGCAGACGGCCGGCGTCACGGGCCACCAGCGCACCTCCATCGCGCGCACGATGCACACCATCATGCGGGAGGAGGGCGTGGTGCGCGGCCTCTACAAAGGCCTGAGCATGAACTGGCTCAAGGGTCCCATCGCTGTGGGCATCAGCTTCACCACCTTTGACCTCATGCAGATCCTGCTGCGGCACCTGCAGAGCTAGGGGCCAGTGGGGTCGGCTGCTCTCGAGCTTCAGTTCGCGGTGGACCGCTGACCCCTTCTGTTTCTGAGCCCAGCGAGCAAGGGTGCGCTGGGTTCCACCCAGGAGGTGCGCGGATGCGCCTTGTGGAACAAGCTGGGGGGCCTGGGCTCAGTGCGCACAGGTCTGAGGGGAAAGCCAGTGGCCCTCGAAGTGCATTGTTGGGACCAGGGGGCCGGAGTTCCCGTGCTCTCCTCTTCCCGCCTCAGCAGGGCCGGGGCTGCCCCGGGAGGTATTACCGTGAACGCCCTGAGTGATGAGGGGCCAGCACTGCTTCCTGGTGCACTCTGTGTCCTTGGACAGGCCCCTGGTTCTAGTGACCTGGTACCCCCTGGGCTCAGAGCCAGACCCCGCCTGCCCCTTGTTGTTCCGAGTCTATGTCCGTGGTGGGGGCAGCCCCAGAGAGTGTGGGGCTGAGGCCTGGCCTCCTGCCCTGTCCCCATGAGACCAGCCTCCTGCTCAGCTGTGGCTACAAATGCAATCTCTCGCCCCGCCCTGCCTGACCCGCCTTTCCTGCCTTCACCACTTCCCTGGTAACACGACTCCTTGTCTGTCCCAGTCTACAGCTTGGGCACAGCCTTCTCCTAAGAGTGTTACCCCGATCCCAGACACTATCCCGGGCCCCTGGGATTGGCTTCCCCTCTGTTGCGCCCCCCCACGCCCCAGTTTGTAATGTTCTCAGGAGGGTCACGCCTCCTCCGGGCAACAGGGTTTGAGGAATTGCCATGGGTTTGGGTCTGAGCCCCAGCCTGAAGCATCTGCCTGGGTTGCCAGGAAGCTCTCATCCCCGCCCCACTGGCTGCACTGATGGAGGCTGGGCCTCAGGCCCTGACCCTCTGCCCATAGGTATGGGGCTCGTGGGGGGGGACCCATGGCATCTGGCACATCCCTGGCTCCCCACCTGAGCAGTTATTTGGCTGGGACATGGGGCAATTTAAGGCCCGTGGGGTTGTCTGATTTCTCGTGAACGGAGTACATGGAGGCAGCTGGCCGCCTTGATTCTCCCAAAGTGAGAGCCCGAGACAGCATCTGGCCTGGGGGCAGGAAGCTTGGAAGCGTCAGGGTACCCCAGAGATCTGGTCTCACAGAGGAGGCCCCCCAGGGCCCACCGGGAATCACAGGGACTTGGAAACACCTGTTTCCTAATGACGTTTGGAGTTTGGTTTTTTTTGGTTTGGTTTTGCAATTTGGCTGGCCCTGGGCCTAGACACAGTAAACCCTGACCAGTCCAGTCTGGTTCCAGGACCAGGACCACCAGAGGGTCGGTTTTCACAGTGGGCTCAGTAGCCATGATGTGTGAAAGGGTCTGAGAGGGTATCTTTGTTGCCGCACATGCATTTCCAGTTGTGATTTTCATTTCCTCCCTTCGTTCTGTCCTGTTTCTGTTTTTCTTGCCTTAGTCCCGTGGGTGTGAAGACCCCTCTTTCTGTCCTTCCTGCATGTTTCCACCAGCCAGCCCCAGTCTTGTCCCCAGACTCTCATTCCCGGGGGCCCAAGCAGCCTGTGATGGCTGTCCCGTTGGGTAAGCATCCGACCCACCTTCTCCCCCAGCCTTGCCCAGTGCTCAGGAGAGGCAGGGGCGTCCCTCACAGGGAGACAGGATGGGAACGTGAGGGCCCCCAGGCGAGAACAGCAGGGACTGGCAGTCCACCCCAGGTGGGTGAGACCAAATAGATGGTTAGGCAGCACCCTCCTCTGAGCTGCAGGCTGGGCAGGAGCGGGGAGGGTACCCCAGGGTTGCTGGCCCCAGTGTGCCTCCCCAAGGTGGCTCCCAGCCAAGCGAGCCTCGGCAGCACCGCCCCCAACCACCCCCAGCCCTGCACACAGTTGGACCTGCACCCTCGGCAGTCACCCCTCTCACTGATTGCCTGGCCTGATTTGGAGTTACATTTTGACGCCATGGAGACACTTTGTTTATATATAATGTTTATATATTTTAAAGATTTGTGACAAGAGAGTATATTTAATAAAAATTAAAATGACTTTTTCTCCTGCCCATGTCTCTTCTTCGGCTCTGGTCCTCACCCCCCATGAACCAAAAACAGGATTGAAGTTATTTCGACAGATTTTTTAAAAAATTTATTTATTTAATTTATTTATTTTTGGCTGTGTTGGGTCTTCGTTGCTTCGTGTGGGCTTTCCCTAGTTGCAGCAAGTGGGGGCTACTCTTCTTTGCGGTGCACAGGCTCTAGGCACGTGGGCTTCAGTAGTTGCGGCACGTGGGCTTCAGTAGTTGCAGCACGCAGGCTCAGTAGTTGTGGCACACAGGCTTAGTTGCTCCGCGGCATGTGGGATCTTCCCGGACCAGGGCTCAAACCCGTGTCCCCTGTGTTGGCAGGCGGATTCTTAACCACTGCACTACCAGGGAAGCCCCATCGACAGATTTTTGAATAAACTTTTTTTTTTAATGTAATTGCTGTTTGGACTGTTAAATGATTGGCTAGAAAGTGCAAACTGCACAAAGAGTTTACCATGAAAAGTAGGTCTACCTCCCAGTTCCCTTTGCAGGGATGTCTCCCATTACCAGCTTCTCGTGTCTCCTTCCAGAGAGATCCTGTGCACAAAGGGACACACTTGTCCCTTTGGGGACGTCAGTCGGGATGGACCATGTGGTACTCAGGAAGCACTGGGTGGGGGGGCACAGCTCAACTGGCGGCTGAGAACTCCATGTGCCAGTGTCTTTAGCTCTTTCTTCTTTGGCCATTTGGATTCCCCAGGAGTCTTCAGTCTCATGCCTGGAAGATTCTGTAATCTGCACACAGGGTAAGGGATAGTGGCTCTCTCCATTTAGCTTTATGTGTAGTCACTTAACCCCATTTGCCACCACACCCCCTACCAAGCCTGGCTTCCCTCCTTCTGGCTGCCCAGTGGTACTGTGGGAGGGACACAGGTACCTGAACTTCCCGAACAGCTTCCACACCAGAGGCCTCCATATTCCACTGCCATCTTCAGCCCAGCCCAGTGGGACCTGGTGCACTCAGTGCCTATGGAAGGTTCTACAGGTAAATCTGGCTGGGCTTTGTGTTTGCCTTCCATGGACCAGGCAGTCAATTGTGGCTCCTCTCTTAATTCCCACCTTCGGAATGTTCTGTAGCCTCTATACTTTTACTAGCGTTTTGAGAAGGATCAACACGAGAGGATGCATTTAGTTCGCTTTAAGCCTTGTGTTTAACACACTTTTCATTTTTATCCATGCAACAGAAGCACAGAGTTTCAAAAGTCAAACACCCATCTAGGGGCCAGGACAACAGCATTCCCAGCTCCCCCGCCCCACATGTCAGCACTTTCTTCGGGTGTCTGGTTATAACCTCACTTCCCTAAGTGAAATCATGCTCCCTGTTGCTTGTTCTTGTACAAGATATGTAGCAAATCAGTGGGGCAGCTGGGCTTGGGAGGAGAGGTTGGTGAGAGCGCTTCTCCCCTCAGGTGACACACACAGGTGAGGGAGCCTGCAGCAAAGTGCAAGGCCCCGAGGTGGGTCACGCTCGCCGCATTGGCTGGGCAGCTATGCTGGGTCCCACACCATCACTTAGGCCCTTGGCTTCCACCCTGGTGAGGGAAATGGCTTTGCTTTGTCTTCTTTAGTCTTTTTTTTTTTTAATATTTATTTATTAATTTATTTATTTGGCTGCATCGGGTCTTAGTTGCAGCACTCTGTATCTTGTTGAGGCATGCAGGATCTTTCACTGCAGCACGCGGGCTCTTCGTTGCGGTGTGTAGGCTTCTCTCTAGTCGTGGCCTGCAGGCTCCAGGGCACGTGGGCTCTGTTGTTTGCAGCACGCCGGCTCTCTAGTTGAGGCGCGTGAGCTCAGTAGTTGTGGCGTGCAGATTTAGTTGCCCCGCAGCATGCGGGATCTTAGTTCCCCGACCAGGGATCGAACCCACGTCCCCTGCATTGGTAGGCATATTCTTTACCACTGGACCACCAGGTTAGTCCCACCTTGTCATTTTTATTCTTAATGTACATTTTACATATGCTAAAAGATTACATAGCTTACGTTTTGAAAAAAACAAGACGGGCTCAAAATGGAGTCACTTACGCTAAGGCTTATGTCACCAAACCGAGACTTAATTACAGTTTCAGCTCGTCCAGAAATGGACTCTGAAACCAGTCAATCAGAAATTGCCTGATCAGCACAAGTAAGGTGATCTACCTGATAGACAGCTGCCATCCCCTAAAGGAAAGGGACCTTGCCACAAGTCCACTTTTCGCTAATATAACTTCCTTGTTCCCACTCCCTTTTGCCTTACAAAAGTCTTTTATACAGCTCCTCAGAACTCCTTTCTATCTGCTGGATTGGATGCAGCCCGATTCATGAATTGTTATATAAAGCCAATAAGATCTTTAAAATGTACTGTTGGATTTTTAACAACATGTACATTAGAATACACACGTGCACGCACATGGGTTTCCCACCGCATGGCCACAGCTACAGGAAAATGCCAGTTGGTGATGGACCCTCGTCCTCCTTCTCCTAGGTCACCACGGCCTCAACAATGTGCCCATTTGCTGTGTGTGACCTTGATAAGAAGGCAGCCCCCTGTACTTGTGGAAGAGGGCGGTATCCCCCATGGCCCCCTGCCCAGTACCATGGGCTCACCCACCTCCCTCTCCCCCCATTTCTCTCACTTCTCACACTTGGTCCATTTCTTCTCACGCCCTTTCATTCTCTCTTTGTTTCTTCCTCCCAGGCCTTTGCTATGCTGTCCCTCCATCATTCCCTTCTTTCAGCACTGAAGCCCCGGACTCCCCACCCAGCCTGCAGCACTTAACCTGACAGCATGCAGAAAGCCGCTTCCCAAACCGTCTGGATCCTTTTTGTAAAAAGCAGCTTGCTCGGGCTTCCCTGGTGGTGCAGTGATTAAGAATCCACCTGCCAATGCAGGGGACACCGGTTCGAGCCCTGGTCCTGGAAGATCCCACATGCCGCAGAGCAACTAAGTCCGTGTGACTATTGAGCCTGCACTCTAGAGCCCGTGAGCCACAACTACTGAGCCCACGTGCCACAATTACTGAAGCCCGCGCGCCTAGAGCCCATGCTCTGCAACAAGAGAAACCACCACAATGAGAAGCCCACACACCACAACCAAGAGTAGCCCCCTCTCGCCACAACTGGAGAAAGCCCGTGCACAGTAATAAAGAACCAAAGCAGCCAAAAATAAATAAATTAATTTTTTTAAAAATCGGCTTGCTCCTTTATTTGTTCAGAAGAGTGCCCCCTTCCACCCCCACGCCCACCCCCACTGCAGTCAAACTGGGCACATGCAATCTGGGAACAATGGCTGGCCGTGGGACCCTCTGCCGCTGGGCCTGGGGAATCAGTTTCTAGGCAGAAGCTCAGGGTCCAAGGCGTGGCCACGGCTCAGGCATGCAGTGAAGGGGACTGGCACAGCGGACGCATCTGGGACTCCCAGGACCACATTGCACCTGGGGACACTGAGGGGGTGGCCCGCGCCCCGCTGGCCCAGGACCAGACCTTGGGGCTGCAGGAGTGTCTGCAGGCGGGCTAGGAGCCCGCCAGATGCTGGTGGAAGTACAGGCCGAAGAGGCTGGAGAGCAGTTGGCAGGTGGCGATCCACCAGATGAGGAAGGAGAGGACGCCGCGGAGGAAGAGTGGCGTGAGCAGGCTGCCCAGGACCCCGGCGATCAGGGCCACGGTCTGCCGGGCCTCGTCCTCCTCGGGGCCGACCGGGCCATCGAGGGCTGAGGACGGGGTGGGGGACAGCGGGGGGACGGGACCCAGGCCCCAGGAGTAGCCGCCTGCGAGAGAAACAGGGTGGAGGGAGGGATGGGTGGAGGCGCAGGCGGAGTTGGCCTCCAGGACCCCCACCCATGCTGACACTCACCCGCCCCGCCCCAGGCTCTGCCTCCTTCCACCACCTCGGCTACCCCAGGCTCTGCCCGCACCTCATCTTCGGGCCCCACCCCAGGCTCCGCCCCTGACCTCGCCCCATCTCAGGGCCCTCCAGCCTCTGCCCCGCCCCCTCTATAGCCAAGCCCCGCCCCCGCCTCGCTCAATCTCCGGCCCTCCCCTCCCCTCCCCCACCCAACTACAACTCCAGCCCCTCGCTCCAGGCTCAGCCCCGCCCCGCTCCAACTCCAGACCCCGCCCCCGCCGTCTCCCAGGCGGGTTCTCACCCAGCGTCTTGAGCAGCAGCGTGCAGTTGAGTGTGAGGATGAGCGGAGTCAGGTACTGCAGGCTCACAACTGTCACGTAGCAGTACACCCGCACCACCTAGTGGACAGGTAGCAGTGGCTGCAGCAGGGGACCTTCGGGCTCCGGGTAACCCCACGCCTGAGGGACAGGGAACCCCGCCCTGAGGCCCAGGTTCCCTCCCCGCCCGTGCCGGTACCCGCCGTTGGATCTCTCGGGCCTCGATGCGGCCGGCCTCCCGCCGCAGCTGCTCCACTCGAGCCTTGGCCAGGCACAGGTAGGCCTGCAGGTGGGGCCGGGTCACCGCCAGCCGCAGCAGGCACAGTGCCACCAGCATCCAGAGACGCAGCGAGTCGAAGGCCGCGTCGGACAGCCTGCGCCGAGAGGGGCGAGGGGGCTAGTGAGGCTGCCCTCTGCCCCAGGATCCTCCCCCAGGACGCACTCCTCCCTTAGTCTCAGAGTCTGGAGTAGCCAGAGGGGGCCCCAGCTGCCCTGCCTCCCACTTCCATACGCACAGAGAAAAGGACGTGCTCCCAAAGGGAGCCTGGTGCAGGAAGTCCCGCGCCATGGGCTTGGTCCAGAGCCACAGGACAAACAGGGGGGACAGGAAGCTGGTGTGCAGAAGGAACCTGGGGGCAAGGGCGCAGAGCGGGTAGGCTTGGGCACCCACCATCCCCACCGGCCCCTTCCCTAGGCGCCCTAACGCTCCATCCACCCGGTCCCCCACGTAACTGCAGCATGGGCCGGTCTTCTGACATGGTCAGTGCATCATGGTGGGTCTGGGCCAGCCGCAGGCCTGGGAAGGTGAGGAAGGCACCCAGCATGGAGCCCA